CTCATCCATGTTATTCTTTGAGACACGGTTCCCTACTGAACTTGATATCCACCAATTCAGCTAGACAGGCTGGCCAGTGAGCCTTCTAACTCTGTTTCTGTGGTACCTGGATTACAGGCACACACTGTGTCTAGATCTTACGTGGGTGCTGGGAATCCAAACTCAGGTCCATACTTGCAAGACAAGTACTTTCTGGTTGTTTTTGTTTTTGTTTTTCTCCTCCTGAGGTAGAGTCTCACTATGCTGCTGTGACTGGCCTGGAACTCACTTTGTAGACCAGGCTGGCCTGGAACTGGCAGAGATCCCCCTGCCTCTGCTGAGACTCAAGGCATATGTCACCATACCTGGCGGCCCTTGGTTCCTGAAATGAATCCTACCCAGGCAAAGCTTCCATCACCATTGCTAGTTTTCTTGAACTCTTGGAAGTGAGATTCCTCATTTATGTTTAATTGCTCACCTGGCTTGACTGAGCAGTAACTCTGGGCCAGGCACTGTGTGTGGAATTGCTTGTGACCAGGCTGCACAGATGTCCTGCAACCGTGGGACAGATAGTGGCAGCAGGACCCAGTCTCCTCTGAATTCCCCCCAGCCACTAACGAGGCAGCTCCTCTCCACCTTTTTCTTGCTCCTTCCTGGGAGGCAAGGCCTACCTGGCTGGCAAGGTGATGAGACTCAGCATCCACAGGATGGCTTATTGCTGATTAGAAGGAATCTTCTTTTGCAACAGCTTGAATACATCTGGAATTTTCAATGCAGCAGAGATGAGGGTTCTACCTTATCTCGAATCCCCATGTGATCATAGCACTGAGCTGGAGGAGACTAGACATGGCCGAAGATTGCCCCTCATACCAGCTCTTGTCTGGAGGAAAGAGGACAATCCAGGACTTGGCGTTAGGAGGACTGATTGTAGCAAACACATACCAGTTTGAGGTGAGAAAGAGAACTGCCACTTGAAGCTCTCCCTGCAAGGTGATTTGTCCGCTGGATGTTTGGGGTCTGCAGGCTTTGAGGTCAGCAGGAACTTGGGAAATGGAGCGCAGTGGAGCTCAGGTAGAAGCCAGTCTCCAAGATAATGGATCAAGGAGTGGTTTAGCTCTCTCTTTAGATGAACCAAGCAGGATTTACCTGAAATTCTTATCTACATGAAAACGTGGCTGGAAATATAAGACCACCATTAATTCCAGTTCATCTTTTTTTTTAAAAAAAGGATTTTATTTCTAATACATCTTTGTGTATTTGACATGTGCCTGCAGGTGTGATATGTACATGTGCATGCGTGTGCCCAAGGAGTCAAGAAGTAGGCATCAGGTCCCCTGGCAGTTGTGAACTGCCTGATGTTGCTGCTGAGAACCAAACTCTGGTCCTATGCAAGAGCAGGAAGCCGTCATTCTATTCTGTAAATAATATCAAGAGTAACGCTAAGCAAAAGTTCATAACCTGTGCATCCTGCAGAGTTGGGGTGGCACCCACAGATGGGGGTGTCAGTATGCTGTGGTTCTCTCTGGGTGAACAGTTATAGGCATGACTGAAGCATGGATAACTGACAGGTCCCTCGTTTCATGACCTCTAATAGAAGAAAGCATGTTTTCTGCACTTGGATGGGGCACACACAGCTGTCAAGTTCCATGTTTTTAAAATTGTTTGTAAAAATGCAAACGGTTACACGAGGGAAACCGCCTTTTACGAGTTCCTCCTGTGTTAGGGTTTACGGTAAGCTCCACACTGGTGATATGTTGGAAGTCCTGACTGCAGTTCATCAGGCAGCTTCCAAAGGAGCTCTGTCTGGCATTCTCTACTGACTAGCAAAGCTGTGTGGACTGCCGCCACCGCTTTACCAGAATGCCATGAAGTGGCACTTGAAAAATGATGAAAATGTTGCAGTTTTGGCTTCCAAATATTAAAATAACATGTCCTACCAAACAGAGAAGACAGCACCTCTAATTCTGTGGCCGTGTGAATGTTGAGGGGACAAGAGAGGAGTCGGGTCACATGGGGTAGAAGCACAAGACTTCTTAGATGTGGTTAGCTTTGGCATGAGCTATGGTGACTCCAATGATCACAGTGCAATCGTCAAAATAAAAACCACGTGTTTGGTGTATGCCAACCCTGCCTGTATATCACATGTAGTGGTTTGAAGGAGAAATGACCCTCATGGGCTCATGGATTTGAACACTTGTCCCTAGTTGGGGGAGTTTTGGAACCTTTGGGAAGTAGAGTCTTGCTGGAGGAAGTATACCACTGGGGGCAGGCTTTGAGGTTTTGTAGCTTGACTCTACTTCCCGTTCTCTTTGTTTGCTTCCTGTGTGCAGAGGCAATGTGGTCTCTCTGCTTCCCACTTCCAGGCTAGCCTTCCACACCTACCCCACGCTCTCCCTACCATGAGAGACTGCATGGCCTCTGGAACTACACACCAAAATCAACCCTTTCTCTCCCACATTGCTTTTATTGTCTGTGTATTCTATCACAGCAACAGAAAATATATTATATATTATCTACATTATCTTACAGTATTCTCATTGTTTTATTCCTGAGTATAAATACTTCAAACGACAGTGCACTGGCTATTTTTTTTTTTTTGTCAACTTGATAGAAGCTAAAGGCAATCTCAACTGAGAGCACGTGTCCACAGATTTTTTTCTGTAGACAAGTCTATTGTGCATTTTCTTGATAAATGATTGATGTGGGAGACCCAGCATATAGGGTGCGGTGCCACCTCTGGGCAGGTATAGGAAAGCACTCTGAGATCAAGTCAATGTCAATAAGCCAGTAAGCGGCATTCCTTATGGCTTCTGCTTCAGTTTCTGCTTCTAGGTTCCTGCCCTGACTTCCTTTGTTTCTGGACTCTGATGAGGAAGTATAATGTGAAATAAACCCTTTCCTCCCCAAGATGCTTTTGGCGATGGTGTTTCATCACAGCAAATGAAACCTTAACTGAGGCAGGTTGAGATGAGATCAAGTGGCGAGTACCCATGGGACTCAAGTTCTTGCTCATGGTGGGCAGCTGGTTCATAATCTCATTCCTGTCTTGATGATGCATTGTGACACTACTCAGAGAACTAGAAGCGATTTCAGGAGAAAGTTGACAGGCCATAAAAGTGGAATGTAAAAATTTTAAATTATACCATACCATATAAATTTCCATTTAAATGATTTATTTTTATTGCCTTTATTTATGTTTATAAAGTGTTTATATATCTGTGTGTATATGAACATGTGAGTGCAGTGCTCTCAAAGACCAGAAAGGGGCGTTGGATCCCACTAAAACTGGAGTCGTAGGTGCTTGTGGATCCCCTGACATGGGTTCTGGGAACTGAACTCAGATTCTCTGGAAGAGCAACAGGTGCTCTTAACTGCTGACCATATCTCCTGCCCCATTTTTCAGTATAAGACAATTGAAATCAATGTTGGTGTAAGAAGTAAGGTAGAAATCCAGCTTTTCTTTTTTCCTTTCAAATTGCTAGTTAATTATCCCAGATTTTGTATTAAGGATGCAATTAAAAATGCATCAATTACTTAAAGCTTTAAAATGAATACTAATGAAAACTTGGGAAAAAAATGGTGGTCTGATTGTGTTGACAGATGTTCTTATTCTGATTAAGATGAATTTAGGCCTGATTAAGTCTTATAAGAAATAAGCCAGGAAACTAGGAAAAGACTATCTCCCTATATGCAAGCAGCTGACTTGGAGGAGCCTGGGGAACATCACAACTGAAGCCATGAGCAGAGACAGGATAAAAACAATGACATAGTCTGTGATGGACAGGGAGTCATCACAGCGTTTCCTGGTCAACTGCTCTGTGAGAAGAATTCATTTCCTTTCTGCCCCAGCAACCAAATCAGTCTTCACTGGTTATGCTAGTTACTTCCCTACGAGGTCCAGTACTTCCAGTACGAGGTCAAGTCCTTATTGGTTATATTAGTTACTTCCCTACGAGGTCAAGTCTTCACTGGTTATATTAGTTACTTCCCTACGAGGTCAAGTCTTCACTGGTTATATTAGTTACTTCCCTACGAGGTCAAGTCTTCACTGGTTATATTAGTTACTTCCCCATGAGGTCAAGTACTTATTAGTTATATTAGTTACTTCCCTACAAGGTCAAGTACTTACTGGTTATATTAGTTACTTCCCTATCAGGTCCAGTTACCTGGCAGGAGCAACTTGAGGGCGAGTGGGTGCTGTCACGTCTATCACGGCAAGGAAGGCGTGGCCGAGTGAATCCATGGTGGTAGGAACATGGTGGCTACTGCTTCTCCACGGCAAAGCCACAGCTTTAACCCTCAATCCTGCTGGGTGACTCTTCTCTGCCATCCAGGCCCCACCTCCTGAAGGTCTGGGAGCTCTCCAAAACCTTGGAGTCCGAGGTGTTCAAACCCAGAAGCCTGTGGAGGGGTATCTCAAATCATAGCACCCACACAGTGTTTTTGTGTGTTCGTTGAGACAGGAGCTGACTACATAGCCCTGGCTAGCCATTCACTAGCAGCAAGCATCCTGTCTCTGCCTCGGGATATTTTTCGTCTGCATTTCTCTGTCTTCACTTTTTATCTTTAATTTACCAAGAATTCACTTTTAAATTAGAAAATTATTACTAGAAATGAGGACCATTTTAAATCTTAGAGCGAAAGAAAGCAGTAAAGATTTTAAGTGGATAGAAAATAATTTGAAGAAACAGGTCTTTCAGTGCACAGAATGTCAGCTACTCTGTTTAAGGAATTCTACATTTAGTTTGTGCCTGTGTGTGCGTGTCTGTGGGTGCTTGTGTGCTTCAGTGAGCATGTGGAGGTCAGAGGACAGCAATTCTTAGGAGTGGTTCTCTCCTTCCATCATGTGGGTTCCGGGAATCGAACCCAGCACCAGGTTGTCAGGCTTGGCAGCAAGCTCCTTTGCCAGCTGAGCCATTTCACCAGCCTGCTAGCTATTTCCTCATGACCCCTTGGTAAGTATTTGAAAAAAACGTGTACTTTATTTTAATGACAAGCACACAAATAAAAAGTAAAAGAGCTGGTTTTAGGTATTTATTATTATTCTTTTAAAAAAGCAACTTCCAGGGTATACCATTGTACAGGTTCAGCCTAGTCTCCTACAGCACGGTACAGTGATGACAGATCTTTCATAACAACGACTCGGAGATGCTGAACATCCATAACTGAATTATCATAGAAAAAGAGAAGAGTCTAACGTTATGTGCATCCAGAAATCATATTCTAATTCTTTTAAGTCGGTTCTCCAAGCATGATAATTGTAGCCAGACTCAGATAGCTAAGAGACAGCTGACCAGCATGCTCCCTTCCCTTCCTCCTGGTGAGTACAACAGGCTTGCTAGGGCTCGCAATACAAATTCCACCCTTTACACAGCATGAATCCCTTCTGCTGCTGAACTGTGGGTCAGTATCTTACACTCATCCTTTGATGGATTTCCCACCACCACGTTGAGTGCAGGTGGCAAGTGAAGCTCATGTCTGCTCCTCCTGAGGGTCCTAGTGAGACCCCCCACCCGTGGCTGAGAGCCAAGACTTTCCCTTGGTTCATGGGTAGCTTTGTCCCTGGTGCTGGGGAGAGACAGCTCTTCTGTCTCGCAGGCGCCAAGCTCCAGGCAGGACCCTGTTGGTGAGTGAGCTGTCTGCAGAGGGACTGACCGCAGTTCTCAGCAAGGCTGTCACTGATGTGTAAACGAGGGTGTCGTCGGTTCAGTAACTATTGGTACATTAAAGCGGTATGGTCGTGGGAAATCAACAAGCACAGCTTGGAGAGTAACCTGCCGTGAAACATCACTGGCTTTAATAATTTACTACAACTGTTCTTTTTATTCACACCTATAGGACGTGCTTCCATCTGTCACGTGGAATATGAATATATACAACAAAATTTGGCTTTTATATAAAAAAAACTCCATAAGGACAATAACAAGGGGTCAAACAAATAACACACGCGGTTTCCTAATTAGAACCACCATCTCCTGCTGCTTACAGGGAACGACACAGAACCGATGGACTTTGTAAACCAGGTAGACTTTCCTGCCCAGAGTAGCCTACTATGAAAGGTAGTAACCTTGTTCAGTTTCTAGAAACTTCTAATCATAATTCTGAATGACCAGGGAAGACATATTGAGTCAATTCTAAGGTCAAACCTTGCAAAAATCTTCTCAGAATCACCATGTACCAACATCCCTTATTCCTCAGACACTTTACTACGGCCTCTTAGAAAACTGTACGGGGCACAGGGTGGCCTGCTCTTGGGAGCCCGTTGCCTTCCCTGGATCCCACTTTTGTTGAACAGCAACGCCAGCATCTTGGTTCAGACTTTCTTATGGCCACACAAATGTGCAGTCGTGGTGTGTGTGGGGGGCCTGTTTTGTACTGCCAGCAGTCAAAACAGTAGCCAAGGGGAGGGGGCTCATCGTCCGCATGCTGTGAGCCTGGGGAGCCCATCCTCCTGGGAATGGGTGTCTGGGGCCCAGCAATGCCACCACCCTTGTTTAATGAGGGACTTGCACTAAAGAAGCTTTGTTCTACAAGTGGCAAGTGCAGGGCACAGAAAGAGTAAGGGAGGTCACGTCCCTAAGTCCTGAAAAGCAGGGCATGGCGAGATCTGGGGTACAAAAGTGTCACTTTGGTGTTGGCACCGTGGATGGGCCATCATGGTCACGGACTTAGGCTCCCCTAGGTTGAGTCTCCCCAGACAATACCTTTCATGCCGGAAATTCCCCCATTCTCCTCTGCTTCTCCAAAGGTGGGGATTGCAAATAGTGTTTATCTCTGTCAATTCTAAGGGATGACTGGCAGGCCATTAGAGCTGCGGTTTGAAGTGTTGTGGCAAAATATCATTGGGCTAAACTGAGAAATAGTCCTGAGGCTAATTAGAAATGTCAGCCTGGGGAACAAGAATTGGTGCCTACAGAACACACCACATCTGACGCCTCTGCTCTAAATAAACAGAAAGAAGGAGGCTAACTTGGATTCTTAAGGGGTCTTTGTGGAGCATGGCCCAAAGCACAAAAGCTTCTATTTATTTTCAATCTTTTGTTCCAGCGAAGAGTTTATAGTTTTGGGAGCCTGAGATGGGAATTTCGGGACCCATGGAAAACTGAGGGTAGGAACATGATTTTGGAGGGGCTGCACACTGCCTTTGACAACGACCTCTGTTTTCATGGTTGGGTAACAATGCCCAGGATTTACATGAGGTTAAAGGGCTCACTGATCAGGCGGCTGATGTGGAGGAATGGGGTGGCAGTTTCAGGCAGGGATTTTCTGTGTTACACACAGGGTGCATTCCCCGCTTGTTTAACAAGTGCTAATATTTGTGAGTAGATTGAAGGGCCAAGGAGAAGCACACCTGCTTCTACACACAATGGCTTGTTTCTGAGAGAATCAACGGGGAATAGTTTTCTTATCAGGTCAGGACCACTGTCTCTCAGCTGGACTTCGAAATCTCTGGTGTACTGAAGATGAAGGACCTTGTGACCTCATATGGAAGGCGCCATGTGATCAGCTCTGACCAATGTCAAAGCCAAACCCCGATGTTTAAGGCAAATGGTTAGCAGGCTGCCTTTGACAATGACAAGGCTTGGTGGTTTAGGGACTGTGCCTGGCTGAAGTCAGCCACCTCTAGATGTACCAGCTGGATGCTCCCATCAAGGCTTGCTCATCGGTGCTAAGGACTGGCTCCATTAACGTCTCAGCATGGCAACATGACTTTCCCACCGCCAAGACTGCTTCCCTCACCGGGAAACTGGGGGGTTTGGGAAGGAGAATAGAGCATGTGTTCTTATATAAGACATCCTGTGATTCCCGGTGAATACCTGCTTGATGCACCCTGGGGACACCACACCTTTTCAGAGTTGCTGGGCAGTGCCCAGGGGTAAAGATGGCCTGGTTCCCAGTCCAAGGGTCAAGAGTCAAGTCATGGAGGAAAGTGGCATTCAGAATCTCAAACAGGTTACTTCTTATCCAAGAACGCTGCATTCCGTTCTCAGAAATTACTTCCTTCCTGGTCTCCATGGGACATGATCTGGTTGAGAGCATCTTGGCAGTGTAGCCATCTCTGGAACCTTCTTCTAGAGGTGAGGGGTCACAGGCTAGAAATGTGACTGCAATTGTCTCATTGTTTGTTTTCAGGCAGTTCAAAATTTCCATTTTGTTCTGCCCATCACGACTTGCTTTGAAATCGTGCAGGGGTCAGTCACCGCTCACCACCTTGGGCTGGGAAGATCTTTCTAACAGTAGAGGAACCTCCTCCCGGGAGTTTCTCAGGCAGCCCAGAGCACAGACTTTGGGTTCTAGACAGAAGGTCTTGGTGGAGGTCGGGAGGGGGGTGGTGCCCTGTTAGGAGGCGGGGCTTGAGGAGGAGGAGGGAGGTTGGAAGGTGGGGAGGGGATGGGAGGAGTAGGGGCACTGGGGGCTGGGGGAGGGCAGTGGGGAGCAGGGGGTGGGGGCGTGTAGATAGGAGCAGGAGGTGGGGAGCTGGGGTGGTAGGCATTGTTGAGGGGGTACTTGGCGGCCTGAGTGTTCTTCACTCTGGTAAAGTTGATGCAGCGCCCCTGGAAGAGAATCAGAGGAGGACCATGAATGGATGCTGAGCACTGGGGTCCACCGCCATGCTGCCGCTGACCTGGCGACCTGACAACACATTAGCCACTGGTCTCTTTGAATCCTTACTCTTCCTGGTCCGGCTGGGTCTCAGATTGCTCCAATCCCTTTCCCTTACAGTCTCTCACCTTCTTGGGCTCAGAGAGAGGAAGGGTGGCTGACATTGGCTGGACCATAACATTATGGAGGGTGTCACATTTACTTTTAGCCTTGCCAGTAGGGTGTGCCCAGCATTCCCTTCCCTGGAAAGAAGTTGAGGTTGAGAAACAAGTCCCTTTCCCAGGTCCTTCACACTAGACTTTTTTTTTGGGGAGGGGGGTCTGGTCACAGGACTCTTTCTTTACCTGTCTTTGTAAGAAATTCAACAAAGACATTTCATTGTATGTTTCCCAAACTTGGCTTCTTTTTCATGTGTGTCTTCCTAGGGACTTACTAGGACAATGCTGAGAGACCCCTGTGTCCTTTCCCCAGACCCCGGAGAGCATGAGCCTGGAGCAGGCCTGAAGCAGCTCATCTTCAGCTGAGACCTCCGCCTTCTTTCACCAGACACCCGGCCCCACACTTGCCCCATGGCAGGTGTTGGGAGTTATGGATCCCTGGCCCCTTGACTTTCTCTGCCTGCAGCTGCTCTGAGCGTGAGACCTTCATAACAGGCTGGTGGGCCTGCAGCTGAGAGATCCCGAGAGCTGGGCGTGGCTAAGGATCCCTACATAAGCTGCCCCTGAGCACAATAAAGGGGGGCATTTGGCATTCTTGTATCAAGGATGACCCGCGTCTCTGTCTCTCTGTGTGTGCGTGTGATTTTAAGTCTCCAGGCCAGTTCCCGGCATACGCAACCGGTCCTGTAGTGACACGGAAGCTACAGGGCCATTTCGGGGCGGGGGTGGGGGGTGTTACAGGCAGGGTCTCTTATGCATGTCACCAGCTGTGCGAACTCCCTTCGCATTCCTGATAAGCTCCTCCCACACTGCCACCCAGGCCAGGAGATGGTCACCCTGTGTGTTCCTGGCCTCTCTTGGCTTCCCAGGCTGTTACAGAATCATCTTCCCTTCAAAGGCCATTGGGAGGTCACCTCTGAGTACACCTCTCTGTTTCTCCTCCTGTTCATTCACACTGACACATAGCCTGTAATTCTAGCCGCGGTGGAGGCATGTCTAGAGAGCCCTCAGCTCCCTACATTAGTCTCTAGGAAAGGGACAGAAGGGGAATTCAGGGGGCAGGCTATAGAATTTAAGAAACAAGTGTGTGTGTGTGTGTGTGTGTGTGTGTGTGTGTGAGAGCACGTCCTGAGACCTGACCTGTGATGGAAGCTGTAAGCTTGTGGGAGATGGGAGATAAGACCCTTTCCTCTCCTGTGTGCCCCATTCTTCACGTGAGACGTCCATCTTCCTGGAAACTCTGGCCCCTGCTCTTAGTTTGCTTTCTTGGGTATTTTTCTAGTTGCTGTCCTTAGCCACATCGTGGCCTGCACACTGCAGCTGTTTTATCTGTAAATTCTTAGCATCTCATGACAAGATGCTTTTCTACAAGAAACCTCCCAGAATGCTTTGCGTGGAAGGTCTAGAGAATCACAGTCAGAATGGAGTTGTCTGAAGTCACATGGGAAAAGCAGAGGCTTTGGGAGCATTAGCAATAGTCTGGAAATTCCTTTCCAGGACATCGTACTAGACAGAGTGTATCTGTTTAGGAATTATGACATCCCTCACAGGTGCTGGCACCCAAGTCCTTGGTGTGGGTCTATCACAAGGTGAAGCCAGGTCCAAGCTCTCCTGGGTCCCTTTTGGGGCTCCACTAACTCCAGCAACCACCTGGCATCTTCTCATTTTCCCTCCCAGAGCGCCCAGCTCTGGCCAGCTCTAAGGGTGAACACGGCAACTGTAGTCTCCACTGGCCAGGCCACTCTCTCTTAGAGTTGAGTGAAGCTGAGCCCTGTTACAGTTTTCTAATGACATTGTATAGGGCTCTTTCCCTCACGTGTTATGACTGTCTGCAATAAAGTCCCACAGTGGCAACCCAGAGTAGGGATCTCCGGAGCCACCTTCTCTGCCTTCCTTCCTAGACACCTAATGTGTGCTAATAGCTTCAGGAACCACAGTCCCTTTAAAGATTGAGATTATGGGCAGCTGGAGCTTAGGTGAGGAGCCCTTGCCTTTGGATCCTATAGTTGTCTCTGGGCCAATTAGTCCAGAACGCCATGAGCTCACTGCACAGACGAGCACACGGCTTTCCCCAGAGGTTCTGTCCACAGGCTCAGGAGCTCCTGGCCCTCCACTAATGTCTGCTCAGAGCCCATGCTGGGAGTCCAAATCTGTGATGTGGACTGGGGCTCTGGAGAACACCAGCTGCCTTCAGGCGCCCTCAGGGAAGGGTCTAGAACAGTGTGGTGTATCACACGTGGGAAACAGCTGAATTTAGTGCTGCCCTCTGCTGCTGGGGAAACAGATGTCGGAGGCGGATGCGACCTCGCCTGTGGTAGAAGATGTGCAGTTGGATGTAGGTCTGACTCCAGGTTCAGGGCTGAGCTGCACGCCACACAAAGCTTCTATGATAAAATCAGTAAACAGGGAGTAAGGGAAACACAGGCGGGGATGGAAGAAGCCTCGGCGGCCCCTCCTGTCTTCCTGTTGCTACATTACTGCAGTCACTCATGGCTTGCAGGACCTCCCACAGTGCTTTGCACACGCAGCTGACAGGCGATACATTTGTACTTATCTGACTGAGAAGAGGTGCAGACTCAGCGCCAGTGTACCCTGGAGCACTTTACAGTAAGACCGGCTCTTCAAAGAGCGGCCTGGCTCCCGAGAGTTCTAAAAACCTGGGCCAGAGGAGCCAGCACAAACATGAGATCCTCAGAGCATAATTGGCCTAAAGATTAGTTCGCAGGGCATTTTGTTTCTCCTCTCACTCGTAGTTTTCGCTTGTGAGGGGATAATAGAAACACCAGATGTCGTTAGTGTTGTACATGCCAGCAGATCGCCAGTGTTTGCTTAAAAGGTTGCTATGGTGACCAGAGCTTTCTCTCATGATACTGGCCCCTTGCAACTCAGTTTAATTCTCTGCAGCACTGTTTCTGGGTGGTTTGAGTCATATCCAAGGCTGGCTTTGACCTTACTTTACCTTTGCCTTCTTTATTAATAAAATAAGAATGCCATTTTTTTTTCACACACTAGTAGCACACGCTCTAACAGAATTCTTAAGTTACCGGTGTTTAGCCTGCACATATGCCTGTGTACCGTGTGTGTACCTGGAGATTAGAAGTTGTTAGGTCTCCTAGAACTGGAGTCACAGAGGGTTGTGTGCTACCACACGAGTCCTAGGGATTGAACTTGGGTCCTCTGCAAGAGCAAGCAGTGCTCTTAGCCACCGAGCCACCTCTCCAGCCCCTTTGGTAGAATTTTAAGAAGACCTGGGGATATATCTGAATGGTAGAGCATTTGCCTAGCACGCATGAGATCTTAGGCTCAATCCTCAGTACCAGACCCACAAAAAAATCCAAGAGGAAAATGTGATAATCTCTTGTAATACAAAGAAATACCCCCCCCACACACACATTGTCTATAAAGCATCCATGAGCACACTTCAAAATCCTATGAGCGAGACATCATTATCTCCATGTGGAGAAATGAAAGGGAGGCCTTAGGCCTATTTAAATAATTTGTGGAAAACCACACAGGCAGCAACAGGTGGGGTGGGAATAAAGCCTAGTTCTGCATGGCTCAGGAATGCATTCTTTTTTTACTATTATCCTGGCTACGAATAATAAGTACAAAAAGATTCCCGAAGGACCAATGGCTAGCTTTACCCAGTGTAGCACTTGGCCACAGTCCACGAACTCGCCACACAGATGTGAGAGGTTATTCCAGGATGTAAGTCTGTCTGCTCACTTCACTCTCTAGTGAGAAGTTCTTCACAGCCCCCAATGCCATGAGGTCCTGTGTCACTGGCTTCACTCTACCTGCAGGACGTCCAACCTGTCTTGTCCTTTCAGTGGCATGGACAGTACTCAACTGCTGGTTTCAAATATCTCCCAGGCAGCCCCAGGGTCTCCCCTTGAAGCCAGGGCTCCTAAGAAAACCTCAAGGTCTAAGAAGTCACTTGATAAATAATCCTTTTATAGCTGTGGGTCTCTGAGCAGGAGAGTCTTAAAAGCTCATCTAGTCCTCATAAGTTTGCTTTTTAGAAGTCCAGGCTTTGATGGCAGGGCTATCTAGACATCCTTGAGTTGTCTTGACATGGGTTCGTCCCTGTTCTTGGGGAGACATGCTGAGGACCCTATGTGCTCCCTTTGGTCTCTTCCCACCTCTCTTAGCAGATTTCTTGTAGCTCAGGCTAGCTTTGATCTTGCTATACTGCCAAGGATGGCTCTCTTTCTATTCTGAACTGTACAATATGTACAGACACACTTAATTTTTATGTCATGCTGGGGATGGAACCGAGGCTTAATTATTTTTATTTTTTTTAAGGTAATTGTCCTCCTAACAAATCCCTTTGCCTAATTATGGTGTGACTGGGATGCTGGGTCCTGCTGACCACATTCAAGGTTTCCCTTGAACTGTAGAGGGTATGGAGACAGGGAACTCGGAGTGTGGGACTGTGGTCTGTCGGGGTCTTGGCTTTGTCCCTAACACACTCTTCCTGTGAGACCTGGGGAACGTCACCCTCTCGGAGGCCCTCTCTTCCTTGGTCTTCTGTACTGGCTAGATGTGTCCAAGGGCTCTTAGCCCTGAGCGCGATGATTTCATCAGGTCTGGGTGACTGCAGAATCCTCCGCCTGCAGCCAGTTTGCGCATCCATTTATGCTGCTTAGCTTGGCTAGCTCCAATCCTGCCTTTGCACTGCGTATCTTCCAGCTGTTCAATAGGTTTCTGAAATATTAGGAAATTGGAGGTTTCAGCATAGGAGGCCTCACCTTCCATTCTTAGGCAACTCTTCTGAGGATCTGAGCTGGCCC